TTCAACTCTACAAGCAAAACATCTAGGTAAGCTGGATTTTTAAGTTACGGGTTTTGAGCGTGCGTGGTTGTAAAGGTTCTGGCGGTGCCAAAGAGTTTTTAGTTCAAGGGCTAGAACCTTCCACTTACTCATAAGTTTTCAGGCGCAGGCGTGTAGAATTTTTTTTGGGAAAATATCTAACTTAGGGACCAGAGAAGTCAGAAAGCTGAAATTGTAGGCGGAAGTCTCCTGTCATTGTGCGACCGTGAATTTCTAAATTTAACTGCCATTTACACCTATTTCTCATGGACGGGCATGTTGAAAGGCTTAAGCGGGGAGAAGTTGGTATGTTTCTATCTCTGAGAACAGGCAGGATGAGAAATTGGAATCTTGAGATGATGTTTCCTGTTTATTCTCATTCTGGAAACTTAAATTGGCTTCTGCTTACGCCTACGTCTTTTGTAATTTCGTCTTTCATGTCTAACTCATGGACACATGAAAAGTGAAATTGTAAAGGCATTTCCACCGTTCCAGTTCAAGGACTAAACAAAACAGGAAGCTGAAATTTTATGCTTCCGATATGTATGACACTGAAAGCTTAGCTTCGGCTTCTGCGCAGACTAAAGTCTTGCCAACAGTTACGTGAAATTTTGGTGGTAATTTTTCTAATTCCGAAACTAGGCAGTATTTTGATTTTTATGCGTTTTTGCATTTAAAGAGGCTGTTAGACAGGATTACACAAAGCGAACTACCGTATTGGCTGCCCTGGCACACACAGCTTCCTATTTTTTATTTGTCTTGTTTAGGTCACTGCTACTTGTCCAGTCGAAAGGTGGGTGCTGCAAACACTTCCGACTATTAGCCAGGAGGGCCCACATAGCTTAACCTTTGCCATATATACATGCGCAGTGCTTATAGATGTCTTTATAATTCGCAAATTCAAATAGGTTTTACGAATTTTTTAACCGTGTTTGCTGTCGAGTGCAGTTCAAAGTACACTGTGAATGATTGCAGGATGGTGTATGTATAATCGATGAACTGGAATTCGCCGATGATGTTTCACCGCGAAATTTGCAGCCTGCAACGAGAACGGTAGCCAGCGGTAGTGCTTCGTCGCAGGTGAGCATTTATCAGATTATCGTTTTGTATATTCTTTTTTTTTATGAACTGAAAAGGCTGTTTTCACAGTCACAGTAACTTTCTTTTCCAGTTTCCTCTAAATAAATCGTTACGAAATCAGCATAACCCATTGTGATAAGTAATATCAGCTTCTAAATGTTTCAAAAAAGACGTCTTTAGGTTTTTATGGCCAGCTAGTTCTTACGGCCGGTTTTTACGGCCAATTAGTTCTGAAAATATCTCACCAAAAACTTCTCAAATGATTGTATTAAAATGCAACATTCGTCCTTCTTTTTAGGAAGTTTTCTCGCTTTGCCAATGCTTTTGCAGTAATTCACAACTATGAATTTTCAGTTCGGCCCTTTCTCCTTTCCTTTTACCTTCCACTTGTGGCTAATCGCACTCGTGTATATTACGCTGCCATCCTTACAGAGCCTGCCTAGCCCTTCCTTCAGGTAACGACGTGCAGGATGTTACTACTTCCTTATGAGAAATTAAAATCTAATAAAAAAGGCATTTTGTTTCCTTTGCTTAAAACTGCTGGGCGCCGTGTATTACTAGGTGGTATCCGCTAGAAAGTAAAGGACCATCCGATGATCTTCCGGAAAATTCGTAGTTACACATTAAGCGAATAACGGGTACTAACTGGAGGTATACAGCACAGGACTGAAAAGTCTGGCACGGTGTCTTTGGCTTACGGGCTACCTGTGTGAAATTTTCAGACCGATTCCCAGGTATCTTGATATTCTTGGTGGTTAGTATTTTTTAAAATATTTTGTCCATCTGCAACTTAAGGAAAAAGTGTAATCAAGGTAGTGGCAGTAATCTGCCCAGTTGCTGCTGACCGTCTGACATTCGATCTGCATTTGTGGTTTTTGCAGGAGAAGGTCGGCAAGCAGGGTAATTGCAAAAACAGTGAAGTGGAACATTCTGGAGCTTCCTCCTGCGGCATAGCGGATTTCAAAAAAGAATGAGGTGATCTGCATTATGCCTGAGTTTTTATCTCTTATTTTTTCAGATATGAATTGATTTCAGTAACGTCCTCGGTGCTAAATTTACGGAAGGTGAAAATTTGACGTTTTTGTGACTCTGAAATGACAACTGGAGAATGTTTCGAAAAACTGCACCCAGTTTTCAGCTTGAAGAAATGTATTATTTTAAAAAAGATGCAGATGGATATATACAATGCATTTGTTGCTGAAATAAGCCACAGTCAACATTCCTTGAATTTTTATGCTTTTTCGTTCCTTTGATGGAAAAACGCGTATTGTAGAGAAATAGTCTTTTTATGTGTGCGCATATACGCGTATATATGTATACTTATGTACGTACATGTTTGTGTGTATATGTGTTTGCATGTGCGCATATCGGTGTGTATCTACATATGTTGTTTTCTAAATCTGTAAAATCTATGAAGTTGAGGTTTTGGCGGTTTAGCTGCCAGTGAACCCCAGATTCAAAATAAGCGTTCTCGTCCTGTTACTTCTCGGACACATTAATGGCAGGAAACGATTTTGGGAGCAAGTCAAGATGGAGCGCTGAAGTTTTGTGAGAATATTCCCTGCATGTAAAAGTTAAAAAATTTAAGTTTTACTCCTACTGCACAGTTCAGATTTAAATTGTGGCAGTGTTACCCTGTCCCCAGCTCGGGAGCCAGACGGGAAGGTTGCAATTTTAAGAGGGCTGTTGCTGCCCATTTGGGGATCCGCACGCTGCAAATAAATTTATACTTACGGCTGCTGCTGTCCGTTTTCAAACACGTCACAGTTTGATTTGCATCGACATCCGTACATCTAGAAAACCAAACATATTTGGGAATTGAAGTTTTACGAGGAGACCTGTCCGTTTGCGGTTGCAAAATCACAGATTAGGCTTTCAACCACTGATTGCCATACACGAGACTTCAATTTTATTTGCACAGGACTTCAATTTTCTGGCACTCTTCCAGCTCGCCAGCCTGCCTGAGTGAGGGGTATCGTACTTACCATAAATATTCCTTGTTTATCTGCAAGTCTACAAGCACAGAATTTATTTCTGCTTGTCACCCTCACTTTGTGTGCGGACTGGTCAAGTAGATATTTTGCGAAATTGTTGGCACCCTCCCCCATGGTAATCAGACATGTTAGAAGGCTGAAATTTCACAAGATGTATAGTGCAGCGCCGCTGACACACTGGTTGGCCCTCTCTTCTGAAGTGGAAGAAACGACCAGCAAGAGCGCATCCAAAATAAATGCATATTGCCAATTTTTGAATCAGTTAACTCGCCTGCTGTTAGCGATCTCAGTGGTGCACGAAACCGTGGGAAACACATGATCGTATTGGCAGCCTGAGTACTCGCCACTAATTATGTTTTTTTATACGCATTTGCCGTCTACGAGTTGGTTGACAAGCCGGTTGATATGCAACGCTCACATTTTTACTAATTTTTATTTCGTTCACTTTTTGTAAGCCTTCTATAATTCCGCATGTATATTTGTCCTTTTTCTTCATTGTTAAGTTTACAGAGTTTTCTATTTTTTTTTAAACCGGGCCATATTACTATTTCGAGAGTGAACTTTGCCCTGTGCAATTTCTCTATGG